CACCAGAAATGACCCCATACAACATAATTGGTCTGCATGTATGTGGCTTTATACAGCCTATGAAATATTTATGTATGTTGTTGGCCGAGTTCAACAAAGCACGGCAGGCGTGTTTCTTCTGTGCCAACGGACGCCAATTGGAAATGCCAAGTGAAGCCAAGTCCTTCTCCACTTGGTCTTCCCATGGCAGTGGGAGCCTCTCTCTTCCCTCTACTCGGTCAAGATCGCTTAGGTGGTTACAGCGCCAAATAAGAGGAAAAAGAAAAAGTATGTGTGTACACATACATATATGAGAAAATCTTATAAGTTGCTCCATTTTTCGAGAAGAACGTGTTTTTGGTCCTAAATGGTGGCACACTTATCTTGGATAATGCATTATCTTCAGTTTTGTATAAAAAACAAGATTCCATCGAGAAATTGTATTTAAATGAAAACTTAAAAAAGATATACATAGATACTACAAAAATAAAAAATAACGTATACGCCCCGTAGCATCATACACAGTCAGCTAACACGTTTACTCTCGCACGCCTCTCCTCTCCTCGAGTCATATTTTTCAAAAATAATTAAATATTGGCATTGAATATTTTTCTACAGTATTCTTGACGAATATATAAATTAATTTCTTTATATATATATAAATGTAACAATTTTAGAATGAATTTGGAGTATGCCAATAAAAATTTTAAAATTGGAATTTTTATTTCGCAAATTATCGTCATCTTATAATCAATGTAATTTTTTTCATTTGGTGGCACACTACTTTCATTACTCTAGATTGGTTCGTTTTGGCAAGATGAACATTCTCACCATTTAATGTTAAAGTTTTGAAGTAACTTAAACTTTTAAAATTAAAAAAAAAAACTAAAAATATCAAAAATTACAAAATAGATCGATCTTCAACTCAGCAGTAGATATATTCTGCATGTTGTCATTTTTGTTTTTTGTTTAATTTGGTGGCACATCCTTGAAACTTCACAGGAACGTTGTAAATGATGCTAACATTCATTGCCTCTAACTTGAAGATTCTATTTGAAAACTTCCCAAAGTTATTAAAAAAAAAAAAAAACATTATGATTACTTCGAGTGACAATGAAAAAATTTGTAATTTCGTCTAATAGCCATCCAGCTTCCATTTGGCGAAGGGGCAGTGGCCAAAGCACGACTGTGCCGACACTAGAACGAAATGATCCATTTGTCGTTTGTCGTAGTTTTTGTGCCATTCGTCCTAACCCCTTTATTGCGACGAAACGAGCGACAATTTTTTTGACCAAGGTTCTACACCACCATACTATAGCGAATTCTTATTTTGAAAAATCCGTGTTGCGAAATCTAAATATTAGTTTTGAGACCCTCGTACATGCAGTTTTTTGAGAGCTCTCCGGAATACTCGCGCTGCGACCAAAAATGGTCTATTGTGCTAAACCCTTATTGTAGTCACATTGGAGGATGCCGTGTTCCAAATTTTGAATGGAGAAGAAGGGGCGTTCCCAGAGGTGCATCAGCCTGCGATTCATGATACGAGGACAGTCACAACGAATATGCTCTGAGGTTTCCTCCACCAGCCCACAAAGCCTGCAGTCCGTCTCTACAGAAAGCCCCATTTTATTCAAATGATAACTTAACTAGCAGTGTCCTGTCAAGTAGCCTGTAAGAGTTCTAGGAGCCTACCGGCTAAGTTCAAGCAGCCTTTCTGAATTCCTCTTGGAAGGAGCTATGAATTTATTTGATTGTCTCATTCCCTTTGACTTCCGCCACCAGTGAGCAGCAATCTGAGATTCTCCTCAACTCCTAAGTAGTTCTGCGTATCTTTTAGATGTGTTGAGTGTATCTTTTAAATGTGTCGCAAAAAGACTGGGTACCATGCATGCGCATTTGGGCTCCGCGTTTTGCGAGACAATCAACGCTTTCCTTGGCTATGGGCTGCTAGGCGAATTTTACAATTGTCCACAAGCTTTAATGTCGTTCTTAATGAGTTTAAGGCCTTTAGTGCTGCCTGACTATCCGACATAATATTTCAATAGTGTTATTGAGCTTTGTTCCGCGATTTGTTTGTTAGGAAAAATGAAAAAAAACAACAACAACAACATAATATTTATTCTGGAGAATTTCGAAGAAAATTCTGTTTTGAAAGTCGCGACTACCAGCCGAATTAGTTTAGAATCCTGTTATTTTATTAAAAAGGCACCCCGTTTTTTATAATAAATTGAATAATTGGAATCACGGATGTTGAAGTTCTCAGATCTGCTTAGTTCCTGTCACCTGGGACTTCTTGGAAAGGTTCACCTGTAATGAATAGCTTGTAATTAGTTTGTTTTATTAGCTGAGCTCGACTTTTCCTAGTTGCAGACAGTCACAATTAATTACTCACCGCTATCGGTACCATAAGCCATGAAATCCGTTTTGTTGTCCCATTCCTCGCAGTCAATGTACTTTGATATTTTGAGGCGAATGAACGCAAATTTTCAACATATCGTTAATATAGTATGGAAAGGGCGTATTTTACATTGTCGCTGAAATGCAAAAAAGCCATAACTAACTAAATTTTTTTTATTGCATAAAACGATGTGGAGACTTATGATTCGTTGAAATGCATGATAATCAATCAAAAAGTGAATTTTGGATTTTTAGTTAATTACGGCTTTTTGTATTTCAGCGACGATGTGGTGGGTTACGCCCTTTCCATACTATACTAACGATATATTGCATTCGCCTTGAATTGATTCTTATTTCATTTCTGAACTTGGCTGTCAACTTATTCACATATCACAAAATTAAAATAAATGTTTTTGTTTTCGAGCTGTAAGACGAACAAAAGGAAACATAATCATAATAAGTTTTATGAGAAAAAAATAAAAAAATAATTACAATTATCTAAGTAAAAGTAGAAAAAAAAATTAGCGACGCAACCAGTTTTTGTCAATAGACCTTTGGCAAATAATATTCGATAGTTACATAATTCTTACCTAATTAAAGGTTATCTTTTAACGCGCAAATAGTCGATTCTCTTTATAGCCAGACGTTGAATATTTCCGCTGGAAATACCTATTGAAGGATTTTACACTTTGACTTTAAATTACAAAAGAAAAGGGACGTAGGGGTGCAGTTTTAACGTAGCATCTCCACAGGCAAAAAATGTTGGCTACAATTTGTCATTTCGTTTGCTAATAAAACGTCATGTGCACTAATAAAACGTCATGTGCACTAATAAAACGTCATGTGCACTTGCACAATATTCGCATTCGCAAAAGCTCCGCAGTTGCGAAAGCGAGTGCGAATATTCGCAACAACCCTGGTACATACTTCTGATATACCCTTTAATTAATTTTTTTCTTAAAAATTATATTTGGCGAAGCTTTTAAAATGTGGGCCGTATTTCACCTTTGGTTAAGACAATCAAATATGTGTAAAATTAAGAGTTTTGAATTTAATTTGTCAATTTCTTGTTTGGATTTTTCGCGTTTTCTGAGAAATTCAGAGCATTCAGGTTTTCCACTGAAATTAATATGATTTGGCAATGTTTTTTAAAATCAGCCAGCCAGCTGTATAAGTATGTATTGCATTTGTAACTAGGAATTTTTAATATTAAAAACACTATTCACACTTTTTCAATAAAACCACAAATAAAAAAGTAACCCCTTATGGCCCATCGGTCGACAAGGGTTAAGGTTTTTTTTTGCAAAAATGTGGGAAATCGAATTCCAATCAATAAAAAAAAATATGTTTTGTTAAATAATCTGCTTGTTTGGCCAAATTAAATTTTAGCCACAAAAATGGGCAAAATTACCCATAGTGCATTGGTAGACTTTTCTGGAATCTTGGTGTAAGCGCGCCTGCTTTAGTCTCCCGTTGTCCATCTTCGATCCATCGGTATACCATACTTGGGACCTATTTTCTATAGATATTATCGCTTCACGGCCGTCCCTTTCTAAAATTCCGAGCTTGTAGGGTTTGCCAAAGTATAAATGAACTTATAAATTGCTTAGATTTGAATATCGTTCTTTTTATTGGCTGTCCAGCAAAACCCAATTCCGAAGGGACTCTCTCTCAGTACTATTTATGCGGCTTAAAAAAAAAAAAAAACTCGTGCTTTGGTATTCTATGCAATCCTGTATGTATTTGATGCAATCCTATTGAAATATTTAAACAACCAATCAATTACACATTCTAATCATGCGCTATAGTAGTATGTAAGGGCTTGGCAAACATACATAACATATCATATCAAAAAAAAAATATTTATTATTCCGCAATACGATTTCTGCGTAGTTTATGACACTTTTCAATTGCAAATGATTTACGCATTTCGTATGACAGTTGCAATGTTTGCAATAATGCAATATTTGAAAAACAAAAAAAAACAAAACAAATACAAAAATCGTATAGCTTACTGGCACAATGCGTGCGACATTCATTTGGCTGAAATTTAAGGCCGTTCCACTGGGCGTATACGCAATTGACACATGCGTTCCGAAAATACCGCTACACACAGTGAAAATAAGCCAAAACATACAAAAACATTTGTTCGATTACGATCTCAAAAGTGTTGTTGAGTGATTTATTACTACAAAAAAATAACAAATAAAATTAAACAAAAATTAGCTTAAATTCGCATACGTACTTACATACATACATACGCACATTTGTAAATACGCAGGGAATTTGTGTGAGTGATGAGGTGCTTGCTGCTACTACTTTAAGTACTAGAGTGTACAAAATGTGCGCATATATGTATGTAAGAATTAAATGTTTACGTTATTCAACTAATATATTCGTAATATTAGAAAACAACAAAGCAAAAATTAACTAAATTGGCGTTTTTTTTTAACAATAAAAACAACAAGAACACAATAGCCTATCAGCTAAGCCTTTGTTGCAGGCTGCTTGACTAGGTTGCTACATAAGTACATATGTATGTATGTACATAGTTGATTAGTGACGATAAATTAATAGCACCGCACTTAGGCTTCTACATGCAATTGCAAATTCCTTTTCCCTGCTTAACCCTGAATGAAACGTGCTGGTGGTAGCGGCGCTGGGGCCACAGGCACCACTGGTCTGGGTACTGGGCCACGTTGGACGACAGCATTGAAACCATTGATGGGATCGGCAGTGTAGAATACGGTGCGTAGCGAGCCATCAGCATCCAAGACGGAGTAGGAACCCTTCACCACATCGCCATCGCGCACCTCCTGTTGGCTCTTGCTGTCGCCGGTGAGCGCATCCTGCACATTGTAGGCGAAAGCATATTGGGGATGTGGGTCAATCTCTGTGTTGATTGGCACAACCGGTGCGGGGGCGGCGAGCGCAAGGGGCGCAGGAGCGGCGCGCAACAGAGCGCAGTGGCCGACAGCAACGAGTGCCAGGCAGACGACGATTGTGTACTGGAAGAGGAAAAAAAAATATTACAAGTTGAAGAAGGAGAACGAGTTTCTTCGAACAGGAATAAAGCAGGACTCTAGCGCACTGGAAATTTTAATGCACAAAATTGATATGTGCGTTGATTAATCCAATCGCCCTCTGTTTAGTCCATCCACCGCTTATCCTGTTCCCTATGCTATTGTACCTACCTTGAGGAAAGCCATTTTACTGCTTGATTTGCTGTTGATTTGCGCACAAAGTGTTATGTTTCACTGCTTGTACTTAGTGTTTGCGAACTTTCGTTGGAATGATGTTATCAGGCCAAGCTGTCAAGCTTTTAAACAAAATACGCCACCCACACAACAGCGGCTAATTCGGTAATTCATTTTGAAACTAATTTGGATAAAGTGAATTGTGAAATGATTGCCAGCCAGAAAAGCAAGCGACGCTCCAATGACATAATATGTATATAGCCCGATAGCCCAAACGTCAGCAATTATGGGTCGTAAATGTTTCAATAATTACTTTGGCGCATGCGCGACATTCGCATTCGCTGCAGAGAACGTGCCAATTGTTTGGCCACTGGCCTTACCCATTTCAACAATGGCTTACCGTAGCAAAAACTGATCGATTTTCTACCATAACCGGGTATAACAATTTTACGCGTGCGCTGTGTGGATGAGTAATTTCGAGTTAGCGCCCACTGCCCACAGCTATGAATACTTGTGCGTATGTATGTTTGCATTTATGTATGTCTTTCATTGCCTTCAAGCAGCTCACATCGCCTGCAGCTGACTGGTTCCATAAGTCACACATTAATCATCAAATCAAAATATTTGCTACCTTCGCTTAGCGCTGTTGTGGAACTAATTTATGCATACTCAATTATGATTGTTGGTCTACGCACCCAGAAAGTATCGGAAAACGCTAGGCGAATCGATTAATTATTTTATAAGCAAAAATAATTGTGCTGCAGTTGCGTATAAAAACGTTTAATGCCTTTGTACGTATTTAAGTACTCAGTTGCTTCACACTAGGGTGGTCAGTTTTTTTTTATTTCACTTAAAAAGAAATTTAACCATCAAAACCGAATCAGCTCAGCCGCAGGCCCCAGATAGCCATTAATATAATAAATCTCTCGTATTTCGTCTTTTTGGCTAATACCTGCGGCGACGCTTTGGCGAAGGGCTCTCCTAGAAAACTGAAGTGCATTCGTGGCGGGCAGTTGCTCACCAAATTCTGGTTTTTACACTCAGAAAAAATATTCCTTGATGCTATGAAAAAAGTATATTATTCTAAGGAAATATTACCTTGAAATGGCTCCAATGACATGGCTTAGTTTAAGGAAAACACAATTTCTTAGTTTTTAGGAAAAATTGACTTGCCATTTCATCCCCCGTGAAAGGAATAAGTTAGTAATTTTGCTCGTGGCTCTGGAGTGCTGGTCGAGAGATGCAAGGTTCGAGTCCCAGAGCAGGATTTTTTTAAATTTTTTTTTAATTTTTTTTTATTTTTTTTAATTGTAGTTTTTTAAATCGTATTAAAAATTTATTTAATTTATTTTGATGGTATTTGAGTATTTAGGTTTTTCCATATATGAAATTAATTCTACAATTTGCAATTTATATTTAATTTAAATTTAAATAATTGTCTTACCTTGCTCTAACCACCTCCAACCGGACTCGAACCTGCGATCTCAGAACCAGAAGCAGTGGTCTTCACGCGACGACGCCACAGCCGACATTTGCCAGAAAAGCAATTAACTTTGTCTTAACACCACTGACAAAATTCAAAATTATTTAAGGAAATTATTACTTAAGTTGAGTAAATTTACTTCCTTAAATTAATGACGCCCTAATTTTAGCATGAACCTGAATTAAGGAAAAACTTCTCAAATTGAGTAAATTTTTCGTAATATTAAGGAAAAAACAGTAACTCTAAAATATAGTATATGGACGTTTTCAAAGGATAGTCTATCACGAAAAAAAAATTGTAACTTATTTATAGGCCAATTTGGCTGCTTTTTGTAATATACCTATACTTATTATGTAAGCAGAAACATTTTTACGGAAAATAGTCTCGCTAGGTGGCGTCAGGGCCCCATTTCAAAGCGATATTGTTTGCCACTTATTTTTAATTATTTGTTTTTAAAAATTTTCATTTAAAATACAGTTCATTCTCTAATAAAACTCATATAAACCCAAGCTTTAAACTTTTTAAAAGGCAGAAGAAAAATTGCAACAAATTTTCACCTAAATTTCAAACTTTTTTCTCGGAATTTTTTTGAGTACACAGTTTTATAGCGCATTCCAGTTTAGTCTATAGATGTGCACGTTTCAGGCCGCTAAAAATTACCGTTGATTTTTTTAGAAATCTTTTGTGTCATTTGCTTCCATATAACGAATAAACACAGTTTATTTTTATATGGCAGAAACCCGCAACACAACTTCGGCGAAACAAAATCTAAAAAATAGACGGTAACTTTTGGCCACTTGAAACTTGCACATTACTATACTAAAATTGTTGTTGTTGTTGTTTGTTTACTCGCTCCTCAGTATTTTGCTGCCAGGATAGATTTCTGACTAGGATCACGCCAAAATACCCGGCTCTGTTAGTAGCCGGGCATTAGGCACTTTATATCTCGGGGTGATCAAGACGAACTCCATCTTTCCCCTTCATAAGAACAAACAGAGTTTTCGAAAGCTGTGATCTAACACTGAGTGCCACAACGTCAGTATGGACGATAAACTGACAGACTCTCCTTTCCAGCTCATCCAGGACAATCGAGAGAAATGTTGAGAGAACGCCGCTGCGGAGTACCTATACTCACTCTACTCTGAACGGTGCCACTACCCCACTCCGCTACGACAGTCCTATGGCGAAGAATGCGGTTGCGCACTTTTCCTATCGCTTTGGTTAGCACATTATTTAAATCGCCCCTCGATATTAAGCAGGATACCAACCACGATGTCTTTGTGCTTAAAACCTTTCGCTTTTGGACCGCAAGGTAACACTATATGGCCGCAAGGTTCACAAAGCGCACACTTAACGAAGTCCCACCTGGACTGAAGCCTTTAAGTAGTTGAAAATATTTAAAATAACTAGCAGCTGTACTTAAAAAAAAAATGAAGAAATACATTTTTTTTTTTTGATTTTTTTGGATAGCTACTTCTAATTTTTTTTTTATAGAAATGTCTGCATATCCGAAACTGACATTGGCAACAAATTTTGGAAAACACATCACCCTAATGCACCACACATGCTGTTATGCATGCAAAAGTGCACACAAAAATTTTCAAAAAATATTTCCATTGATTAAATAATAAGTAAGTGTTATTTTCCCAAAGTCTTGACCCCTAAATCAAATAAATAGCAGCAAATCAAATATTTTATTCACCAATTTGGCTGCGCACCGAAAAAAAAAATTGGGTTTACTTACGTACATGCATATCTACATATGTATGTAGATATGTATTCTGTTCATATGCGAAAAAATATATAGGAGGAGCTATACATGTGTACTGTAAGTCACATTAAATAAATGTAATCTCAAGCGTTGGCTTGTAAAATCAACACAATTAAATCGATAGTGATTTAAGCGCTTGTCAGTCTATCAATTTTCAACGTTGCTGCAGAGTATCTACAATAATGTACATACATATACATACATATGGATCGTGGTAAACAACAGGTGGTCAAGCGGCAGGCCACATATTGGTGGCAACGTGTGTGAGATACTACATTGCACTTTTTAAGATTTTTTTTTTATAAACTTCAAAATGCACTTCATATACTCCGAACATATTCCATGATATGAATACATACATACATATGTACGCAGCCACATATGAATGTGTGTTTTTCTCATGCACTTCTACATATCCGCCCAATCGTTACGTAGACACTTTGCTGACAGTTGATCTGACGGTAAGGTAATTTTATTTGCAGCTCACAAATTCGTTCACAGTTTGGGTCAAAACAGCAATAATTTCTTTGCTGATTTTATTCTTATGCGCACCCTATGGCTACCATAAATATTCGTTTTTTCATTAATCGTTTATGAATCAAGAAGTTTTTTCTTGTCGCACAGTGGGCCAGTATATTTCAGCTTTGGCTTAAACGTATGATTTGCCTACGATCCTGGTAAAATATGTCCAGTTGTTCACAAAATAATATTAGTGCGATATTTTAACCATTTTTGGCTATTTTTAATAACGAAAAGAAAAAATAGCAATGGTTAAAATATCGCACTAATATTATTTTGTGAACAACTGTACATATTTAAATTAAATTTAAAATTTTTTGTTATTTTTCTATAAAAAAAACCGTACGAGCAAACATATAAATTACAGTTTCAAACTTTATACAACATTTAGAAAGACTCGTCAAGTTATATACCAAAATTTCAACTTTTTAATCTAAATTTTTAGAAAATTTTTGGGTATCCAGTTTTATGGCCCATGCTATTTAAGTCCAATAAAGTGCAAGTTTCAAACGACTAAAAAATCGTGTGGATTTTGGGCATTTTTTTCTTTTGAGACTGCTTTGCGGTTTTTGTTTATAACAAGTGCGTTGATTTTTTGAAATTTTGTTGCTAACGATCTCCCGATCTCCAGTCTCAATTTATTCAAATAAATTTAATAAAAGGTCTGATATTTTAAGAAAAAGCTATTGCTTAGTTGTATTTATTGTGCCCTGCGCGAGACCGTGTTTTTCCTTAGCATCTTCGCCGTTTCCTTATCATCTTCGCCCTTTCTTTAAAATTTTTCACTCTGATTATATTGCCATATGAGAATGTGACATTTTTTTTAAGAAAAGAAAACGCCAAAAATGTAACAAAGATCTACGAACAATAAAAAAAAATGAAATACCTGGTAGCTAATAGCTTTGAAAATAATGCAAAGAAAACCCGATCATCAATAAAAGGATCATCAATAAATACAAATAAAGTGTTATAGATGTTGAGAATTTCGAAAAGTTCCTAAAAAGTTTCAACATGCCAAAAATTCCTATAAATGCCAATAGGACCCGGAAAAACTAAAAAAAAAACATTACCAAATTCTTTAACATACCGAACTAAATTAAAAACTTTCCGAAAAAAAATCTCAAAATGTATATAAAAAAACTAAGCATCTCGAAAATTCGTAAGCAGCATCACTTAGTAAATATCTTTAACAACTCATACTGAATAATCTTGAAAAGTCAAAAAGATGGGGTAACTAAA